CTTGTCTTTTTTTCCCCTCCACCCGGCCCCCCGCTAAAACTTATCTTCCTGTTTTACTCTGTGGATATCTCTTTCCATCTTCTTCGATGTCTCCCTCTCCTCTCCTGCCCTCTGCCTTCAGATTCTGTACTGAACCTCCTGTGAGCCCTCTCATGCTCTCGTGGCCTTGCCCACTTCGTCTATGTTAGACATCCACCCCTGTACCGTCGCTGGGAGCTGCCGACCTGTGAGCCCCTAGCTGCCTGTGGGAGGCTCTCTCCTGGATGTCCCACTGCCACTTCCTACTGGACATCCAAACCCGACACTTTCCCTTCCCCCCAAATCTGCTCTTCTCCCGCATTCCCAATCTTATGTGGCGATACTACTGGGTACCTAGTCACCTGAGCTGGAAGCCTGCAGTGGCGTGGGGGACAGACAGGAAGGAGACCAGGGTGGCCTCCAGGAGACAGATTAGGAAGATCTTTCCATCATCCAGGCAAGAGATGGTGACTTAGGTGAGGGGAATGGCAGCGATAAAGGCAGATGCAGCTTTCAGCGGAACAGGGAGAAAATGATGATAGAGTAGATGTGGGAGGTGAAAAACCCCACGCTCCTTCCAGAAATCTCACTTTCTCCTCTTCCTGCACCTTTATATCAAAAGCCAGCTCTTCCTTTGAGCCCCTGCTCAAATGCCACTCCCAGAGGGCTTTTTCTGATGTGCCCTAGGTTTCTGCAACCTCTGTCCCTTGACACTGTCCACGGTGTGCTTGGAGACAGGGGTCTGTATCTGTCTTATCACCTGCTGGACACTTCCAATCCAGGAAGATGGGTGTGTGTGTGTGTGTGTGTGTGTGTGTGTGTGTGTGGCCTGCCCCTACCACAATCAGCCAGGTGCTGTGCCCATTGAAGATGCACAAGGAAGGGCTCGCCTGCCTCCAACCCAGTGTGTGGTCAGTGGGGAGAGAGTAGAGCTGCTCGACCTTTCCGCGCTGGGTCACTCTGGTCAGAGAAAGGAGCGGCAGGCAGCTAAGCTTCACTAAAGACTGAGGTTCAAGTCCGGATCCCGTTCATCACTAGTTGTGTGACCTTGGGCATATCTCTTCCAGCCTCTCTCAGCCTCTTTCTCTCCTTTCCTGCCTCCCTCAGATCAAAGACCAAGTGAAGTTCTACTCTTAGAAACCTTTCTACAAACTTCTAAAAGGTTTGGATGCTTGTTGCCAGGTCCCCCTTCCTGATGAAAAGAGACGTGATGGCTGGAGCACGGTGGCCATCTTGTGACCATGAAGCGACCCTGATGACAAAGCCACGTGCCAAAGCATGCCTGTTACAGCCGTCCAGGCTTCCCACTTCCTTACTTTCTGCACTTCCCCGGGGCATACTAGGCCTTGAGGTGTGTCCCAGTTTCCCAGCCTAGGTTTCTAATTCAGAACCGCTTCTAAGCACTTCCTACAGAGGATCGTGTGTTCTTGGCTCATTGGTAGTGGCTTCCTCTTGCTCGGTCAGCTGTTTTAGTTCTTCAGGTCAGATGGCTTTGGGACTACCCCTACCTTGTACATTCCACTTGGCGGCTTTTGGGGGGACCTATAAAGATGGGTGCTGCGGACTCTGACCTCCAAGGTATTGGGCGTGACTCCTGGAGTCACAGTACTTACTGGATGTCCCATGACCTCCCTTCTTCCCTTGTCAGGACATCACTCCACTGCAGGTGGTTATGCCCAACACTGCCCTCCATCTTAAGGCGTTGCTGGATTTTGAGGATAAGAATGGAGAGAAGGTGGTGGCAGGAGATGAGTGGCTATTTGAAGGACCTGGTAAGTTCCTTCCGTTGGCCGGAGTCCGGGTCAGAGGCTCCTGGCCTTTCCACTATAGCTCTGATACCTGCTCACCTCCAGCCTCTTCTCCCCTCCCCAGGCACATATATCCCCCAGAAGGAGGTGGAGGTCCTGGAGATTATCCAGGCCACGGTCATCAGGCAGAACCAGGCCCTGCGGCTGAGGGCCCGCAAGGAGTGCTGGGACCGGGACGGCAAAGAGAGGGTGACAGGTGGGGTCGATAAGGGGTGCTGATGGGGGCGGACAGGCCGTGCTCTGCCCGCAGGGTTGGGATGGCCACTAGCAGCCTGGGAGGAAGTACTTCCCTGGGATCTCTCTTATAAGCTTTTGGGGGCTGCCCACTGCTGCTTTCCCTAACCCCCCCTGTGCGGGCTCTCCCCTGACCCTGTTGTCATGTTGACATGGCTTCTCCCTCCCCCCAACCCCCACCCTTCACCCGACCCAGGGGAAGAATGGCTGGTGCGTTCCGTGGGGGCATATCTCCCGGGAGTGTTTGAGGAGGTTCTGGATTTGGTGGACGCCGTGATCCTCACAGAAAAGGTCTGTGCTCTGGGGGGGTTAAGGGACCCTGGGGTAGGGATCACTCTGAGTGGCAGAGAATAGTGGCAGAGGACATGAACGTGAAAGAGAAGCAATATTTCTAAGGCCACTAAGAGAAAAATGCAGAGGTCAGATACCTGAGGGGTATCCTGAGTCCTCTGAGAAGGTTAAAATGCCCTCCTGGGTTGGTGGAGACTGGCGGTCAGGCCTGGGAGCACTTAGTGGCCAGTGGGGCTCCCAGGTCCCCTGAGGAACTTGGAGATCGGTTTCCCCAAACGCCCTGACCTCTTGTCCTACAGACGGCCCTGCACCTCCGGGCTCGGCAGAACTTCCGAGACTTGAGAGGAGTGACCCGTCGCACGGGGGAGGAGTGGCTGGTGACCGTGCAGGACACGGAGGCCCATGTGCCAGACGTCTACGAGGAGGTGCTGGGGGTCGTGCCCATCACCACGTTGGGCCCCCACAACTACTGTGTGATTCTCGACCCAGTGGGACCGGATGGCAAGAACCAGCTGGGGCAGAAGCGTGTGGTCAAGGTGAGTGCCTCCATTTCACCTGGAGCTCTGCTCTGGGAGGGTGAATGCCCTTGACTGGAGGCCCTCGGACCTCTTCCTTCCCTCCTCCCACCCCAGGTACATGTTCTAGAAGCACCAAGCTTGTTCTGGCTCCCTCTGTGTCCTTGCACGTCTAGTTCTGTCTTTTGAGACAGAGTCCCCCTGATCTCCCTGGTGGCCCCCAACCTCAGTTTCCACACAGTTTCTTCTGGGAGCACCTCCCGGGTCCCATCCGCGCCTGCTGTTCTGGAAACCTTGTCATCTGGCATAAAACAAACCTCTTGGTTTACGCTTCTCCCCACCCCACCTCACCCCTCTCTTAACTATACATGGCACTATCAGGGATCGACACACTTTTCTGTAAAGGGCCAGATCGTAGATACTTTGGGCTTTGGGAGCACATTCCACTGTACTGGTGGAGCAAAAGCATAGACAGCTTGTAAATGAACGAGCCTCTGTGTTCCTGTAACATTTTACTTCCCGAAATAGCCCAAATGTCTAGCAGTGGATGAACAGATCACAAATTGAGGCATATCCACACAATGGAATATCCTTCAGCTATAAAAGGAAATAAGCATGTACGGATGCTCGTGTGCTAATGATCAGCATTCAGGGCGCCTGGGTGGCTCAGTCGGCTGAGCGTCCGACTTCAGCTCAGGTCGTGATCTCACAGCTCGTGAGTTTGAGCCCCACATTGGGCTCTGTGCTGACAGCTCAGACCCTGGAGCCTGCTTCGGATTCTGTGTCTCCCTCTCTCTGCCCCTCCCTCACTCACGTTCTGTCTCTCTCTCTCTCTCAAAAACAAATAAACATTAAAAAAAACTACGTTAGTATTTCAGCTAGTACTTGGAATTGTTTAATTCCATTTATTTTACTTTTTAAAATGTAGTTTTTTGGGGGGGGAGGGGCAGAGAGAGAGGATCCCAAGCAGCCTCCACGCTTAGTGCGGAGCCCGATGTGGGGCTTGATCCCATGACCTTGAGATCACGACCTGAGCTGAAATCAAGAGCTGGATACTCAACTGACTGCGGCAGCCACGCACCCCTGTGTGGTTCCGTTTATACAAAATGTCCCAAATGGGTAAATCCGTAGTGATAGAAAATAGATTAGTGGTTAGAGGGGGCAGGGATGGACAGAGAGGAACCGCTAATGAGTTTTTCAGGGTGATGAAAACCCTGGGATTAGATCCTAGAGATGACCGGACAACTCTGTGGATATGCCAAAACAACTGAATTGTAGACTTTAACCGGAAAAATTGTATGGTATATAGATTATATCTCAAATAGGTTGTTAAAAAAAAAAAAAATAGTGGCCAGATTTGGCCCAGAAACTGAGTTTGCCAATGTCCAGACGACACCATCCCAAGAAAACAACGCATGGGAGAAATGAGCAACAAGAGGGTCATTCTTATTTTTTTTAAGCTTTTTTTTTTTTTAATGTTTAGTTTTGAAAAAGAGAGAGAGAGAGAGAGTGCATGGGAGGGACGGGGGTGGTGAGGAGGGAGGGAGAGAGAGAGAATCCCAAGCAGGCTCCACACTGTCAGCACAGAGCCAGATGCGGGGCTCAA